GGGGGGGAAAAAGGAGAAATCAAAATGATAAAGTGGGGCAACAAGCCAAAAACAGGAAACATGTGTAGCTGTTTATTTCACCTTGTAAAGAGAGGTAATTAAACCAGGCTTTAACCATGATTTTAACACAAACTTAAACAAAAGCCTCAGTTTACAAAAACCTAAATGCTTACAGCACTTGAGCCTCACAACTCTATGAGACAATTGGTATTAGTTTTATTCCTTATTTTAATATGTGAAATCTGAAGTGAAGAGGTACAGTTAAGGTTACACATTTGTAAGTACCTAGGCCAAGACACCAATACCCTGCCTCCTAAATCAAATGCTTCCTTACTGCAGACCTGAAATGCTGGTCAAGGCCTCTAAAACAAAGGCGACCTGTGTGCTCTGGGTAACGTTCAACGGCACCTCGAGCAGAAGGCTTAATGTCTGTCTGTCTCTCTCTCTCCCACCATCGCATGCTCCGCCTAACTTTTCCTCCTTTTTTTCAGACTACTCAACAAATCCGTAGAGTTTTACATATACTGACCTATGCAGTAGACAGGATACATTACCATGCCCATTTTCCACTTAAAAAAAAAGACAAAAACAAAACATCACAACTCAGGGAGTTAAACGTGTTCCTCCATGGATGGTCACTGAGAAGCCAAAAATTAAATCAAAATCTTCTGGCTCCAAAGCACACGTTCTTTCCACTCTACCATACGACTTTTTTCAACCTTTCTACTTTTCCTCTCTTTCGCCTCTTTCCCTGCGTAAGCCTCAGGGCTGCCACTGGCACCTAAGAACACCGCCAAAAACAACCAGCAAGGTAAGAAACGAGACTGCTTACCTCTTAAATCACAGGAATGGAGAAGCGGACGAAAAGGTACCGTAGTGTTTGGGTCTGGAACATGTCTCCAGACTTTGCAGCCAAAACGACTATAATAACTAAAGTTTAGGGATCATTACAAACCCAGTCTCCAAAGACAGCTTAAAAAAACAGCCCGTAAAGGTGCATCTAAACCAAAGCCTTTAGTTGGACACCGTGGTTCCCTAAACTGCACACACGTTTCGCTCGCCTACTGCTGATGTAAAGTCGGGGGCTAGAAAGAGACACAATCAGCTCTTCTGGTTGCGAATTTCCCCTCTTTCCAACCCAAAAGTTTGCTCAATGGACCTCCGGCCTAAAAGACAATGCTCCCAAGAAGTTGTTACTGTGTTCAGTGTTCGCGCAGGGAACCGCAGCCCCAGCCTCCCGAGAGCTGGAAGACAAGCTCGGCCCTCGGGAGGAGGCGGTCCCGAGGAACAACAGGCCGGGGCTCCGCTCCCCTCACCCGGCGGCCGCAGCCCCTACCTGAGCGAGGAGGGCCGCCCCACGCGACCGGCCGCCGCCTCCCAGCGCCTCCACCTCGACCAGCCGCCCACGCCCGCGTGGCCACCGCTTCCTGCTCCTCGTCAGCGCCCCCGCCTGCCCGCACGCACGCCCAGCGCAGCCCCGCCAGGTCGGGGTCTCG